CCTGCCTCTCAGCCAACCAGTATCAGGCAGGGGCGGGGTCTCCTCCCAGACGCGGAAGAGTGGTTGGCTGTGCAGCAGGAGGGCAGCCTTAGAACAGCTGCAACCTGGGCAGCAGCACTCAGCTAGCAACTGGGAGGCACTGGGGAACTCTGAGGTTGGGGCTCTAAGAGTCAGGTGGCTGGCACTGGGGAGGGGCATTGGGTGCAGAGGACTCTGGGGTCAGTGGCTGGTGCTGGGGGATAGGAGAGGGTACTGGGGGGCTTAGGGAACCCTGGCCCCCAGAGCTGCTGTGAACATCTGGCTTCAGCTGGAGCAGCAGCCCGCCATGTGGTGACTATGAGAGCTGAAGCCAGCTGTTCGTGGTGACTCTTGGGGTCAGGGCTTTTAGCAGATGGGCAACATTTTATTTGCATATTCATTATTCAAATAAAATGTTGCCAGTTTGCCAGACCATGGTATAAACAAGGTTGGAAGAACTGTTCCACACAAAGGATTTTTTTTTTTTTTTTTTTTAAATAATGAGCAAATCAAGTAATAGGTTTCAACCAGTGCGGTACTGTGGCACAAAACTAGCCGTGTACTGACCATTTGGAAATTTGAGTATTGTTAGTTATTGCAAAAAAAACAGCAGAAATCAGCTTGTACTTTATATATTACATGTTTATTATGGGTGCACTTTTTTGGAAAATTTACATTTTATGAAAAATCAGAAGTATTTACAATTTTTGCAAGATAAATTTGTATTGTTCTAATTTACACTCCAAAATAATAATAGTCGCAAACCTCAGATCCTTTAGAACTGTTTAAAAATTCATTTTCTCAGACAGCTAATGAGGTTATTACTGTCTACATAAGCAAGAACCAGCTTGCTCCATAGATTTCTCATCAAATATCTAATCTTTTCACAATGTCTATGGATTTGTTTACAAAAAAGTCTATATAAGTTTGCATGGCCTCAAAATTGTAACCTGCACCCACTTCAAATGTATGTTTGATCCCTCGGTATGAAGCTAGTTTAAAATTTAAGTAATACTTGATTAAAAATGGAGAGCAAAATATTTCTTCAATTTCAATAATAACTATTCAGATTAAACACACTGTTTGATTGCAAAGCAGATTACAATTAAGATTCCAGTAAAAGACTGTACCATTTTAAATGACAATTACAATAAAAGTTAGATATTCTAAGTTATGTACACCATTCAGTAAAGAGTAATATTTTAGCAAATTAAGAGCGATACGTACTGCTTCAGTCAAATTTAATTCAGATTTGTTATAATAAGGAATATATATAAAAACCACATACCATGTGGTATACTGCTTCACAATGAATGCTTTTGTAAGTAGTGTGTAACATGAATCAGAATTTACGTGTCTACAGGTCCTGAAAATTGATCAGTGTAAAGCATAGCAGTCCAATTTGTTAGTGACTTTACATAAATGATTACACTAAATTTTATTGCTTCCAGTATAATAATTCTGAATACAAAACATTTTTTAATTTCTGCATTTATTAAGGACTTGTTTAACAATATTAATACATAATGGGCCTTTGAAGTTAGTAACTGGTTTTATGCAATGCTACCAGTGTGTCACTTCAGATCACTTCTCTATGCAACAATACAAACATATAAACTGGTAGTTTTTAAACGCCATTGAAGTTAATAAAAAAATGGCAGCATTTTGCTGCTGGCCAAAATATTTCTCACAAAGCACACATTTACATTCATGTCACATGTCCATAAAGCACTTAAATCATTTTTCAAAAACTTAGTAGTCAGAGTGAAGGGAAATGCTACGTTTTAAAAAAATATCCCGTTTTTAATAATTTTTATGCATCTTCAAAATTCAAACATCTTTGGTGATATTAAAGTTGAAACTGACACTGAGTTATGTGATTATATCAAAGCCTTGAACTATGCATTTTCCTCTACAATGGCTGCATTTATTGTAATTACCTCATGAGGAAGTAAATCCAATATTTTAGACATTTTACAAAGCAACCTCCAGTCACTGTAAATTTACCTTCTAAATTCCAGTCAAAGGAATTTTCTGAAGTTCTATGCATTACACATAAATACCACTGTATGCAAGAGCCAGACTAAAAAAGGAAGTGAGGCACATCAATGATAAATTGGACAGGCACAGTTTAAAAAGTTTTTAAAAAGGCACAAATGTTATGTATAATCCATATAAAAATAAATTAAGTCTACAGCATTAATTCAAATAATCATAACTGTCATAAAATTTACTAACAGCAGAAGTATCTTTTGCCATTTTTTAACACATTGCACTTTAGAAAAAATTAAATCATATATATAAAACAATTTACACTAATATATGGTACAAGAGAATCACATACTTTTTGTATACATCTCTTTCTAACAAATTTTATGACACAAAGGCAACATAAGTGGGAGGAGGGATTATCTTTCTTTCTGCTTTGCACAATGGCAATTAAGGAAACTGAAAATTTGTATTTGAATATTACTTATGAAAGCTAAAAATATTTCGTGCTTGCTTTCCTTTAAGTTTAATGCTTACATTATAATGTAGTTTCATACATTTTCAGTACAGCTAATGATTAGTATTCTGACTTAAGTTTATATAAATTTACTAAAATCTGAAGAAACAAGTTTCCCAAAGATTTCAGTTGATCATTTACAGTGTTGAAGTTCACTTCAGTGCTATTATAAAGTAATATTTTTCTAAAAATGACTTTAGAAAAGTGCATTTTTTTTGTTTTGTAGTGAGTTCCCAAACAGTTCCAAGTTTAAAAAAATTAATGCATGTTAAAATAGTGTGTGTGAGGCAGAAAAAATAGAATAAGCTTCTTGTTGTGCTCCTTTGATTCAGCGATTTCCACAAATTCATCAGCAATCTGCCATATATCGTCCTATTAAAATACAAATAACCTCTTGCAATTATAATACTTACAGTAATTATGTTTTACAATAAATAAGACCATAAAAGATAAATTAAAGTTTCAGTATTTTCCTGGAAACAGTGTTTTGATTTCATGTATAATAAGCACCAATAGCTGCTTTTATTACGTGTGTCAGTACTCCATACTTAATATACTAGATAATTAGTAGGTGAAGTATAAAACTAATACATTCAGATAAAAGTCACAGTCAAGTAACATTAGTAAATCATGTTAGTTTAAATATATAAAAATCTCAATTTCTTACCAGTAGCAAATCTCTTCTTAACTAGGGAAAGCCGATAGCCAGCGCCTACCAGCTCTACATCTACTCCTGAAAGGGTGCTTCCTTCACTAATGAACTGCACTGCAAGTGTAGCTGGTTTACTGGGGCCTTCTAAAAGATCAAATTTTGCCCTCAGGGATCCAGAACCTATAACAATGACAACAAAATGCCTTGAAATTGTAAATTAAAAAAAAAAAAAAAAATCCATCTCACAAAATGCAAGTATTAGACAGTGCACTTACATAAAGATCTCTAATTTCTGGGACTGTATGTGTGTGTGTGTGTGTGTGTGTATATATATATAGATATATATATAGATATATATATACACAGAGAGAGAGAGAAAGAGAGAGAGAGAGAGAGAGAGACACTTACTTCCCTCACATCATTTGTCTGTTTTGTCCAGTACTTTGCCTAAGGCAGTGACCAATTTATAAGGATGCTTCAGAGAAGCAATGTGGATGAAAATTTTCTTCCTGAGGTTCAGATGATATACATGAAATATATTTGAATCTCCTCTAAACTGTTTAAAACTGCAAATGTTACTCATCATTTAGAACCCAGGAAACACAGGCTGGTATGGCCGTTGATAGGTTATCAAGTTCAGCCTCTTGGGCAGAGGCAGAACCAAATAAACCAACACCATCCCTCACAGGTGTTTGTTTAACTTCTTAAAAGTTCTTAAAATCTTGTCCTCCAATGAGGATTACACAATAATAATAGATTATATCAGCAATGGACTGCATGAGTGGCCTTCCTTCATCCCAGTGGGCTGCAAGACAGTCCTAACCAAGATAGTCTCCTGGGATAGGGTAGTTTTGCTAATTGCACTTGCGTACCTAGAATTTGCGAGGTATGCCAAATGAACAGTAGCAGCATTTTGATTAGATGCAGTGTGTGTGGACGGCTCTTAGAGAATGTTGTGTGTAACCAGCATGTATTTTGCTTCACATGTCCTTGCTTTATGTGCAATCACTTTAGTAATACAGTATGAAAAAAACCTACATGGATGGAAAGCAGCAGAATCTGGCAATCTTGTGCATGAGCAACAATAAGCTGCCCTGGGTACGTCCCATCCTTAGGACAGTTGGGGTGGGTGCTGTGGGGTGGCCACTCCATTAGTCCTGTGGACAAGATGGCTCTGCTTGCCTGCAATCCCCTCCGACCCGAGATAAGGAAGTTACTCACCTTGTGCAGTAACGACTGTTCTTCAAGGTGTGGGTCCCCGTGGGTGCTCCACTGATGGTGACAGGTGATCCCTGGAGCTGCAGTTTGGAGCTTTTTCCTAACAGTTTACAGTTGGGCTGTATGCGCGCTGTAGGTGCCTTGCGCTGCTGACAGTTTAGTGCCTCGTGCAGCAGCCCAACCCCTCCCGTCCAGTTCCTCGTCTATGCCTGAGTTAACAAGAACTCTGAGTAGAGGGGAAGAAGGAATGGTTGTGGAGCACCCACGGGGACACACACCTCAAAGAACAGTCATTACTGCACAAGGTGAGTAACTTCTTTTTTCTTCTTCAGGTGATGTCCCCGTGGGTGCTCCACTGATGGTGACTACAGAGCAGTATTCCGTAAGGATGGTGGGATTCAGAGTTACTGCTTTGTGGCTGAAGACAGCACCACTGTAGCCACTGCTGTATCATTTGTTAGTTGAGGCATAATGCCAGGCAAAGGAATGGTTGGATGACCATGTCGCAGTCCTGCATATGTCCTTGAGGGGCACACTGTTCAGGAAGATGGTAGATGTTGCAGCAGCACAAGTGGAATGTGCTCTAGGTGGGGCTGGTAAGTATTTATTGCGAAGAGCACAGCTGTGTCGTATACATGCTACACTCAGTTTGTAAATCTGTTGCATTGACTTTGGGATACTCTTGGATTGTTCCGCAGTGGATAGGAAGAGGTGTGGGGATTTGCGGAAGTGTCATGTTCTGTGAATGTAAAAGGCTAGAGCACATCAAACATCTAAGTTGTGGAGCATAGCCTCTCTGTGGGATGTGTGAAGCTTTGGATGGAATGTAGGTAGGACTATAGGTTCATTAATGTGGAAAAAGGTGCTGACTTTGGGCACAAATGAGGAGTGTGGTCTTAGAGTTACTTTGTCCTTAGTAAATATAATGTACGGTGGTCCTGCCATGAGGGCTCCTATTTCATTAACTCTCCTCACAGAGGTGACTGCCACCAAGAACAGCACCTTCATAGTTAGGAGTGGGAATGAGCATGTGGCCATAGGATCAAAGCGAGGCCTCATGAGACAGTATAGGACTAGATTTAGATCCCATGAAGGTGCTGGGCGGTCCTGTGAGGGAGAAAGAGGTGGTGGAGACCCTTTAGAAATCTCCTAGTGATCGGGTGGGCAAACATAGATGAGCCATCGACCTGCTCATGGAATGCCATGATCACTGCTTAATGCACTTTGATTGAGGAGATGGATAGGCCCTCGTTCTTTAGATAGTGTAGCTATTCCAGGATGAAACGGAGAGGAGCCTAATAGGGCTCGATCAGTGCCCATCAGCACCAGGATGTGAACCGTTCCCATTTGTACAGGTAAGTCTTTCTGGCCTCCTACTGTGAAGGAGGATGTTTCTTCTTCTGAACATTGGGCTTCCGACCCTTGGAACAATAGAGAAGCCAAGTGTGAAGGTGTAGCGTGTGTGGCTGGGGATGAAGTAATTTGCCCCCATTTTGAGAGAGAAGGTTGCACCAAGGTGGTAGTGGTATAGGTGGCTTGATTAACATGCGCTGAACCAAGTCTGTTTGGACCATGACAGGGCTACTAGGATGTCTCGTGCTGTGTCTGATCAGATTTTCTGTAAGATCCTGGGGATCAGTGGGACTGGAGGAAATGCGTAGTGCAGCGGTTTGTTCCAGGCGATTAGAAATGCATAACCCTTGGATTCCTGGCTGAATGCTGTTTGAGAGCAAAAATGGGTGCACTTGGGAGTTGTCCCTGGTTGCGAAGGGATCTATTGGTGGGTAGCCCCATTTGTGGAAAATAGATTTTGTAACCATTGGATGCAGCTCCCACTTGTGGTCTGTGGGGAAGCTACGACTCAGAGTGTCCGCCCTGACATAGTTGAGTCCCAGTAGGTATGATGCTTTGAAGGTAACTATGTTGGATACACCAATTCCAGAGGAGAATCACCTCTGCACAGAGGGATGGAGAGTGAGTGCCACCCTGCCTGTTTATATAAAACGTGGTCCTTGTATTGTCCATTAGGACCCACACTGTGCAGTTGGTGATAAAGGGGGCAAAGTGCCTGCACGCATTCCTGACCGCTCTTAGCTCGAGAATGATATGCAATAGAGCCTCATGCAGTAGACACTTTCCCTGCACCGTATGGTGTTGCACGTGTGCTCCCCATCCTATTAGTGAGGCATCCGTGGTAATCTGGACCGATGGTTCGGGTTGAAGGAAGGAGACCCCCGCAAGGAGGTTGTAAGGAGAAGTCCACCATCTGAAAGAGTCTTTTATGTGTGTTGGGATGGTGACTTGTTTGAAATAGTAACAAAAAAGGAAACAGCCAATCTGCAACAAGAAAGTGTGAAGTAAAGAGAACACCTGAGGCAAGAGATATCAGATCTGCGGCCAAGGGCGGTTAGAGAGGAACTGTGGGGGGAGGTTGGGCTGCTGTGCGAGGCACTAAACTGTCAGCTGCACGAGGTACCTACAGTGCGCATGTAGCCCAACTGTAAACTGCTAGGAAAAAGCTCCAAACTGTGGTGCCAGCGATCACCTATCACCATCAGTGGTGCACCCACGGGGACATCATCTGAAGAACCACCAGTGTGATACAACTGTACCTTCATCACCCTAATCCTAAGGCTTGGTCTATGCTACAGATTTATGTTGGCATAACTATATCACTTGGGTATGGACAATCCAAGTGCCTGAGTAACTCAGTTAAACCAAATGAACTCTTGGTGCAGATAGCTATGTTTACAGGAGGCTTTCTCCTATTGACAGAGCAACTGCCTCTTAGGGAGATGGAGTACCTACACTGAAGGAAGCAGCTTTCCTGTAAGTGTAGGTAGCATCTTCACAAAGTGTTGCACTGGTGCTGCTGCAGCACTATATGTATAAATAAGCTGTAATATGTCCTGATCAGACCGGGCCACAAAAGGGACCCAGATTATATCACCTTCTCCAAGAGCTCTGGCTCAATCCTAAATACTACCTAGATTGTGAGACTTGGGGTACATCTACGTTACACAGCTTTTAGTGAAACTGCAATGTTGCTAACAGTCAGAAAGTGTAAACATTTCTTGTTGGCACTTTTGCCTACACAAAATTCCACACCTAGTAGCAGCATTTGCTTTGTTGGCAGGAGACCACTCCTGTGGACAAAGCACTGTTTACACTAGTACTTGCCACAACAAAGCTTTTGCCATTTGGTGGATGGGGTTTAAGCACCTGTGAACTACAAAAGCTTTGTGCCAATTGGCAGTGTAGCAGACAAAGCTCAAGTCTGTGACTGAGAGACTCTGACTCATCCTCCTGCCTCCATCTTTTTTCTTCCCTACCTTATTGCTTCTTTTTCCTATCTCTCTCTCTCCTATCTCTCTTTCCTTCTGGTATGACTTAGCCATCCCAAGACTGTATATTTTGCAACATTGCTGTGAGCCTGTAACCAGAAAGCACACATGCCAAATAAAAACAATACAAAAGAACACCACACACCCCACAGACAACAACCATGTGCTCTAGTCTAAAAAAACCCATTCTGATACTAGTTTGTCTAGTTTTGGAGTGGTTAAGAACATAAGAACGACCGTACTGGGTCAGACCAAAGGTCCATCTAGCCCCGTATCCTGTCTGCCGACAGTGGCCAGCACCAGGTGCCCCGGAGAGGATGGACCGAAGACAATGATCAAGCGATTTGTCTCCTGCCATCCCTCTCCAGCCTCTGACAAACAGAGGCCAAGGACACCAATTTTATCCCCTGGCTAATAGCCTTTTATGGACCTAACCTCCATGAAATTATCTAGCTTCTCTTTAAACTCTATTATAGTCCTAGCCTTCACAGCCTCCTCCGGCAAGGAGTTCCACAGGTTGACTACACGCTGTGTGAAGAAGAACTTTCTTGTATTAGTTTAAAACCTGCTACCCATTAATTTCATTTGGTGTCCTCTAGCTCTTCTATTTAGGGAACTAATAAATAACTTTTCTTTATCGGCCCTCTCCACACCACTCATGATTTTATATACCTCTATCATATCCCCCCCGTCTCCTCTTTTCTAAACTGAAAAGTCCCAGTCGCTTTAACCTCTCCTCATATGGGACCCGTTCCAATCCCCTAATCATTTTAGTTGCCCTTTTCTGAACCCTTTCCAAGGCCAAAATATCTTTTTTGTGGTGAGGAGATCACATCTGTACACAGTATTCAAGATATGGGCGTACCATAGTTTTATACAGGGGCAGTAAGATATTCTGGGTCTTATTTTCTGTCCCTTTCTTAATAATTCCTAGCATCCTATTTGCCTTTTTGACTGCTGCTGGTATAGTGTGTGGAAGTTTTCAGAGAACTGTCCACGATAACTCCAAGATCTCTTTCCTTATTTGTCGTAGCCAAATTAGCCCCCATCATACTGTACGTATAGTTGGGGTTATTTTTCCCGATGTGCATTACTTTACACTTATCCACATTAAATTTAATTTGCCATTTTGTTGCCCAATCACTCAGTTTGGTGAGATCTTCTTGGAGTCCCTCACAGTCTGCTTCTGTCTTGACTATCCTAAACAATTTTGTATCATCTGCAAACTTTACTACCTCACTGCTTACCCCTTTCTCCAGATCATTTATGAATAAGTTGAAAAGGATTGGTCCCAGGACTGACCCTTGGGGTACACCACTAGTTACCCCTCTCCAATCTGAAAATTTACCATTTATTCCTACCCTTTGTTTCCTGTCTTTTAACCAGTTCTCAATCCAAGAAAGGACCTTCCCTCTTATCCCATGGCCATGTAATTTACACAAGAGCCTTTGGTGAGGGACCTTGTCAAAGGCTTTCTGAAAATCCAAGTATACTATATCTACTGGATCCCCCTTGTCCGCATGTTTGTTAACCCCTTCAAAGAACTCTAATAGATTAGTAAGACAGGATTTCCCTTTACAGAAACCATGTTGACTTTTGTCCAACAAATTATGTTCTTCTACATGCTTAACAATTTTATTCTTTACTATTGTTTCGACTAATTTGCCCGGTACTGAAGTTAGACTTACCGGTCTGTAATTGCCAGGATCGCCCCTTTTTAAATATTGGTGTCACGTTGGCTACCTTCCAGTCATTAGGTACAGAAGCTGATTTAAAGGATAGGTTACAAACCACAGATAATAGCTCAGCAATTTCCCATTTGAGTTCTTTTAGAACCCTTGGATGAATGCCATCCGGTCCCGGAGATTTGTTAACATTAAGTTTTTCTATTTGTTCCAAAACCTCCTCTAATGACACTTCAATCCGGGACAGTTCCTCAGATTCATCACCCACAAAGGACGGTGCAGATTTGGGAATCTCCCCAACATCCTCGGCCATGAATACTGAAGCAAAGATATCATTTAGTTTCTCCACAATGGCTTTATTGTCCTTGGTTGCGCCTTTTATAGCTCGATCATCTACGGGACCCACAGGTTTTTTAGCAGGCTTCCTGCTTCTAAGGTACTTAAAAAACATTTTATTTCTTTTTGAGTTTTTGGCTAGCTGTTCCTCAAAATCTTTTTTTGCTTTTCTTATTACATGTTTACACTTGATTTGACAGTGTTTATGTTCCTTTCTATTTATCTCACTAGGATTGGACTTCCACTTCTTAAAAGATACCTTTTTGTCCCTCACTGCTTCTTTTACATGGTGGTTAAGCCACGGTGACTCTTTTTTAGGTCTCTAGCTATGTTTTTTAATTTGGGGTATACATTTAAGTTGGGCCTCTATTATGGTGTCTTTAAAAAGTTTCCATGCAGCTTGCAGGGATTTGGCTCTAGTCACTGTCATTTAAGTTGGGCCTCTATTATGGTGTCTTTAAAAAGTTTCCATGCAGCTTTCAGGGATTTGGCTCTCGTCACTGTGCCTTTTAATTTCTGTTTAACTAACCTCCTCAGTTTTGTGTAATTTCCCGTTTTGAAATTTAATGCCAGGGTGCTGGACTGCTGAGGTGTTCTTCCCACCACAGGAATGTTATTATATTATGGTCACTATTTCCAAGCGGTCCTGTAACGGTTATTTCCTGGATCTGATCCTGCGCTCCACTCAGGACTAAATCGAGAATTGCCTCTCCCCTTGTGGGTTCCTGCACCAGCTGCTCCAAGATGCAGTCATTTAAGCCATTGAGAAATTTTATCTCCACTTCTCTTCCTGAGGTGACATGTATCCAGTCAATATGGGGGTAATTAAAATCCCCCATTATTCTAGAGTTCTTTATTTTGGTAGCCTCTCTAATCTCCCTCAACATTTCAATGTCAGTATCGCTGTCCTGGTCAGGTAGTCAGTAATATATCCCTACTGTTAATTTCTTATTATTGGAGCATGGAATTACTATCCATAGCGATTCTATTGAATATGTTGATTCACTTAATGTAGAATCAAATGAAATAAAAATATTATCTTTCACATACAGTGCCACTCCGCCACCCACTCGGCCTGCTCTATTCTTTCGATATATTTTATATCCTGGTATGACTGTGTCCCACATTTTCCTCATTCCACCAGGTTTCAGTGATACCTATTATGTCAATCTCCTCATTTAATACGAGGTACTCTAGTTCACCCATCTTATTAGTCACACTCCTAGCATTTGTGTAGAAGCACTTTAAAAATTTGCCACTGGTTATTTGTCTGCCCTTCCTTGATGCACTGGATTCCTTTATTTGTGTTTGTTTGTCTGCTCTGGCCCATGGTTTGCCCTCTCCCCTCCTTTCTTTCTGACTACAGCTCAGAGAATCTCTATCAATAGATTCTCCTCTAAGAGAAGTCTCCCTCCGATTTATGTGCATCTCCACACCAATCGGCTTTCCCCCATATCTTAGTTTAAAAACTGCTCTACGGCCTTTTTAATGTTTAGTGCCAGCATTAATCAACTAATGTTTAGTTGATAACATCTTGTGGTATGCCTATGTAACTTGCAGCCTTGTTGCTGGAGAAAAAGTAACACCACAGAGAGAAGCCAAATTTTCTACCTGTGCTGTTCCCTCCCCCCCCCCCCCCCTTCCAGGAAACAGGATTGGACTCTACCACCAGCAGCAATAACAGCTCTAACTCAGCTGAATTAATCTGTTGCCTTTCCTCTGCAAAGGGACAGTTATTGCAATTTAAGGGACTGTGAAACAAAAGGTTTTGTTTTCCTTCTTAATCTAAACACTCTCTACAGCTACAGGGAAAAGAGAACAAGTGATGTTTTGAAAGTGAAAACCTTATCTAACACTCTATATTTCAAATGCTTTAACTGATTTTCCTTTTTTTCTGTATCCTTAATAAAAAGGTCCTAAGTAAACTGAAGCTGTATGCCAAAACTATGAACCTTGTTTAAATCTCAATAGCAGGAAGTTTCAGTCACGTTAACCAGGGCTGGATTAACATTTTGTCGACCTGGCACCAAACATATCTGAGAGTCCCCACATGTAGTTGTATCAGCTCCTTCTGAATGTGGGCCTGGAGTTGCACTGCCACTGGTGCTATAGTATACCCTGGGGTGGATAATATTTTTTGATGAGGGGGCACTCCAAGAATTTGGTTAAGTGGTCAGGGGCTGCAATTTTCTATAATATTAATGGAGGGAGTGTAGGATCTGGGACACAGTTTGGGTACAGGAAGGAGTTCTGGGCAGGGAATTGGGGTACAGAAGGGGGTTTGGGTTCTGGGAGGGAGTTTGAGTTCAGGAGGGGTTGTGTTGGAGCAGCAGCATGGGGGGAAGACAGCTCCTCAAGAGCCAGTGCTCACGGGGGGCTGGCTTTCATAACCCTAATATCTATATAATACAATTACTAACAAAATGCTCAAACTTACCTCCATTCTCTGATTTTTCTGAAATACTGGATATTTTCCAAAAAGCTTTCATCTGTTCTGCATTCCTAAAAGCAAAACCTAGTTACTGACCAGTAACAGAAACTTATAAAATAGATTCCTGCCTCACACCCATTCACCTTGTGACCCCGGAACTGCTGAAAATAGTTATGTTAGCAGTGTTCATGGTAAATTGGGTGCTTGTGCAGCCGCTTGGGAGAGATTTCAATGCCTCCAGTGGATTAGCAGAGCGCTCACAGCTAGCTTTTTGTTTCTGCTGGTGGTGTGCTTTTGCACATGCCTCTGTGCACATAACAAAATTTATTCCAAGCATGGACGGAAACAATTAGAGGGAATATTGGCCATAAGAAAGGATCCTTTTCCTCAAGCTACAGAACTTATAAAAAGGCATTCCTTTCTTCTTTCCACTTTGCCCCCCAATTCAGCTGTCTGCAAAATAAGTCTACAAAGAGGCACTGGTAGAAGTGGATAATCGAGGCTTTGTGGAGGTAGTATATTTAAATACTGGAAAGTTATCTCATTTACTCATGCATAAAATTACCTTCCCATAAATAATCTCTGAAGAGAGGTTAAGCAGCAGTAGCTGAAGAAGGTGGAGGAGAGACTGTAAAACAGTTCTCCCAAAGCAGACATGAGAACTAGCTTAAGTATCCAAAACACATATCGACCTATATGTAGATACGAGAGTTGACCAGAGGCTGACAACTCCATTTTGTGACAACTTCTGTGGTTTTGAAATTGTGGTTAGGGTACTAGCCCAGTGTGTAATTGACAGGTTCAGGTCCCTGCTCTGTCTGATTCAGAGAGAGTTTTTCATTCCAGATCACCCCATAATGGAGATGTATACCCCAGAAAGGCAACAAAGGATTAATCTGGATCTGAGAGGCAATTATATTACCTAGCTACCTAGCTGCACTTGGGGGTGGGCCAGGCCAAATTAAAAATGAGTCTCATCTGGGAGAAAAACTGGGTGGATAGTATAAAAGGAGGATGTCTGGAACAGAAGGAGGGACTACAGGGAGAAAGGGCAAGGAATTGCAGTCACTTCAGGATTAGAAAATGGAAGGACCAGGAAGGGCAAGGAGGAAATGTGGTAGGGTCGGTTCTGGGTCCTCTCCTTCCTGAGTAGCAAAGGCTGGTTAAAAAGCCAGGAGAGAGAAAGAGCAGCTACCAGGCGTGCCTGGGCTGCCCCGCTGCCCGAGCCCCGACGCGGCTTTGCTCCGCGTCTTCCTGGTCTGCAGACCAGGGAGACGCGGAGCAGCTTTTCTTGCCCCGGAGCTCACGGGCGGCGGGTCGCCACCTGTGTCCTCCGGGGCGAGAAAAGCTCCGTTCGTAACTGCGGACCCAACGTAAGTCGGATCCGCGTTAAGTCGGGGACTGCCTGTAATTTCAAATGAAATGGCTGCTAGAAAATGTTACACTCAGTTTAGTGCAAAATACAGCTAGGGAAAAATTTGTCCAAAAAAACAAAGATAGTTGCAATGACCTGAGTTACTATACTATAGTTGGAATGAATGCATGTTTTCAGTTTGAATTAATATAAATCGACTGGGCATTGTCTGCGGTCTGGAATGAAAAGTAGTATTTCTGAAAAGATTACATACCATCAAGGCTTTTAAAAGTAGGTTACAAAAGTGATTGCAAATCAATTTTTCAGTTAGATTTCTTTTCGAGATTCATATGACATTAACAAGTGCACTGAAAATAAATAATTGGATAATATAACAGAAATGCACTGAACTTACCATTTTGCAGGAGGTAGTGACTGCATGTTTGTTACTCCTCCATTTACTGGTACAACAACCTGTATGTTAGACAGCATACTAGGTGCAGTCATAGACTCTGGGTTGTATTTGTAATCCACTCTTACATCAGTAGTGCTATCATTACATTTCCAGTAAGTTGCAAGATTCAAAGGAGTGGATTGGATGCCATTTGAGGATACCTTTAAAAAAATATATTTTTTTAAAATAGCTATTTACTTCACATAAGGATGCACACAATTGAGATTCTCTCTCTAATCATGCCTTGTAACTGAAGGGGATATTCTTGGGTTAATTAAGAACAAGATTCAAGGCAGACTGGGGCTTGGAAGCTTTTACTTCTTAATACCAGAGACTGTCTTTGTTAGATACATTTTTTTTTATGGAAGGGATGGAGTGGGGTTTAACCATCACACCTCCAGCCTCCAAATTCTCTTCCCTTTCTGGATCTTCCAATACAAAACATTGGGGTCAGGCTAGTTTTCATGTTGTTTTTTGCATTCTACATCACACTGAAGAAATCTGACTGGAAAGGTCCTATTTCTCCCCTCCAGTTGTGAACCGTAATAATTTACTTGACAGAGGGTAACTTAAAGTCATGCAACAATTAGCACAAAAATACTATTGGAAACAAATATCAGAAGGGTAGCCGTGTTAGTCTGAATCTGCAAAAACGACAAGGAGTCCTTTAGCACCTTACAGGCTACCAGATGTACTGGAGCATTAGAAAACAAAATTTGCCAAACAAGTAAAGCATAGACATGGCTGCTCCTATAGGCTGACCATGTAACATACACCAGAGGCTCTTTGTATCCCCACAGTCATCTTACAAGCTCCCTGTGTGCAGTTGTCCTCTCCTTTTCTATTTGAGGGACATGCTGCTATGGTCTCCCTCATACCTGTGGATCTGTGTGCCCCTAATGGCTCCCTCATGTCTGGGACTCTGTGCTACCCCATTACTGCTTCCTGCACACCAAGTTACCCCATTATCTGCCCCCTTATGCTACTGGCTCTGTGTGACCCCTCATTGTCTTATACTAGGGCTCCCCTATATCCTTTAGGAGTTCTTTATGCTCTCCCTGCATCCCAAGGGCTCTTGGTGCCCTTCCATACTTCCCCCACATACTAGTGTCTTTCACATCCCCCCAGCAAGGATTCTGAGTGGCCCTTTCCTTCCTCACCCCATGTTAGGGGCTTCAGGTCTCCCACACTCCCTACCATGTCAGGGGCTCATGTGCACTCCTATTGCCATATCACCAGGTGTTGTATGCCGCCCCCCCACCTCCATGCCAGAGACTCTATATGCCTCCCATGACCCATTTCTTTCCCTCCCATGCACTCTCCTTTTCAGGGCATCAGCTTTTTAAAAACTGTATTGGAAGATAAGGAGAACTGCTATCCAAGTAGAGGTTTATGGATGCCATCAACTGGTCCTTTGATCTATAAACAATAACAGAGCTGCTGAATAGCAGTTGCTGGGTCTCCTTGGGCTCACAGAGACTATGGGGAAGATTCAAAAGAAAATATGCAAATTCCGTAGGAATTTGAACATCTTCTTCCAATCTCAAGTTAAAGTAGTTTAGATGCTTTTTTGGGGGCAACCCCTCCCTCCTTTCGAGAAGATGAGTAAACCTCATTTTTTGAGGAAAAGCGGCTTTTTGAAAAAGGGGGAGGTTGCCAACAAAAAGTGTCTAGACTACTTTCACTTTTGAAAGCTCAGCTTTCAAAAGTGAGATTGGAAGAAGATATGAAAATTGCATATCCTCTTTTGACTCTTCCCCGTAGTCTAGATATAGCCCTTGTGTCCTCATTTGTCCTTTTTGATTTTTCCAGTTTCACCAAAATCAACAGGAATATGTGTAGAACATTTCCTGAATTTTTGGAATTGGATAGATGCAGCATTCAAAAGTTACATTATAAACAATCAAATTGAGTATAAGCTCTCATTTCTGACAAAAGTCAAAGGTTGGAACCTTGCATAAATGTCACGTGCTCAGAGCAAATATGAACAAACACAAATATCATCAAGCCAGAAGCAGGAGCAAGAAAGCACCAAGGACAAAATTTGATCCAGCAGCTAGGTGAGGTTCTAATGTTTGGAACAGTCTAATGCCGGTGCAGCTTAAAACCCATCCAACTAAATGGTGACAATCTTCCTCTATGCCCATACAAACAATAATTCTCATAGTCTTTTTACATGTGAGATATGCAAAAGTTCCTTAAAAATCTCCAAATAAAAATATAATTTTACCTGATATTTTAAAACATCAACATTATAATAAGAAGCAGATGGATTCTGCTCTGATAATTTCTTGAGGTAGACTGTAACAGCTTGCATGTTCATCCAAAAATCTTTTGTACTGGAATCACTTTGTGACTGGTCACTACATGTGAAATGAAGATAGGAATCAGAATACAAATATCAGTTTTCTTATTCTGGATGACTTAACATTAAGTAGTAGATCTTTCCCTTTATTTTTTTTACACTTTTTTCAATCACAGTAAGAGGTTGCAACATAACTGCATCTTTCAGAATATTAAGGAACATCAGTTACCTATTCAATACTGGCATTCAACACACATTCACAGTCCTGGATTACAGCTGAATGCCAGCGGTACCAATAATTAAGGCTGTGTCTGGATTGTACCTTCAAGCAGACATAATGTTAAACTGCCATACAGGTGATACCTTGCAGGGAAAAATCTACAAAAGTGTCTTTAAAAATAAATGTAATCTAATCTAATATTATAAAAACACTAAAATGCCTTGATCGCAATGTGGAGGTTTCTTACCTGTAACTAGAGGTTCTGAAAGATCTGTGGTCCCTATGTCTATTCCACAAATGGCATGCATATACTCTAAGCATCTGAGATCAGATATTTCCAGCAGATAGTGTCCATTGGTCCACGCCTGTACTCCACTCATGCTCTGTACTGAGATTAGAAAGGACAGTGCGGAACAAAACTTCTTCAGTTCCTTCTCTTTACTGCAAATCCAGTCATGATCCAAAATAGAGGAGAACAGCAGCAGACAGTTGCATAGAGATAGGGACATATCTTGAAGAATCTTCAGATACATGTAAATAACATGCCTTTCTTCTTTGTGTGGCAGTCTCCACGTGTATGACTGGTAAGTAGTATTCAAGGTGGGAGTGAGAGGATGCAGGAAATATAGATGTCTAACACTGCTGTCTGAATAGCTGAATCTGAAGAAGAGTCCGAGACTAAGGCATAATCCTTTGTGAAGGCATCGATGGAATTCTAGGTTGTCACCTAACAAAGTACTAGTACTGGTACTTTTCAAAGACATATTATTGATTTGCATGTGCTCTAGAAGAGTAAGCCGTCCCACACAGCAATGGAAGATGCTACAACTGGTAACAGTGATATAACTGGGGCTCCACTTAGAAAAATCTCTGAGCAGATCGCATCTGTCGCTGTGAGTTCTCTCATAACTATTTTTGCTGTAAGGTGCTTCCCTGTTTCTTTACAGATCAAACACTAGAGCCTGTCTGATGTCAAGAGAATTAAGTCTTTTAATTGGAAGCATGAGGTCTGTGAAGAAAACCAGTAAGTGAACAGGTTTATTCATACAAACCTCAGAAGTAACTTTTGCAATAAATTTTGGGTGGTGAAGAGAAACCATCTCCTTGTGAAATGTGTTATATGCCAAGTTGGTCAGCATTGCTCCAAGTTCACTCATGACTTCTGGCTGACATGATGTCAATAAAGGTGACCTTTATGGGCAGGTGGGACATCAAGCATGTGCCCATGATTCAATGGGTGTCCTGGTATGCACTAATAGTATACAACTAAGATCCCATGGCAAACACTTTGGGAATCTGACTGTTAGTGGGTTAGTAAAAATAGAATAGCCACAAGATGGAAGGCTCTGGCTGCTGCTATAAGTGGACCTGCAGCAAGCTAATGAAAAGTCCTGATGGTCTGAGGTTGAGGAGGTAGTCTAAATGGCAGGAATACCTGTTTTGGGGAATAGCTGTGTCATGGCTTAAATCCTCAACTTGGCACTTCGAATATAGGTAATGTGGGTTGGCTAGGAAACTGAAAACTATCAGATCCCATCTCCATGGTTTTCAGAGACAAAAAAAAAGTTTTCCTGATTTCAGTTTCTCCTGAAATTCAGTAGTATTGCCACCAAGTGTATCCCTTTTTTTCAGGAGAAAATCGCTTGGAATGTCTTCACTGAGAGCAACCCTCTATTCCCCAACTTCCTTTCCTCTAGGAGTAGGGTTGCCAAATGGTTTAACAAAAAATACCGAATGCTCCCCCCCCCACCAAAAAAAATGGGGAAAAAAATTCTGTTGAGAAAACAAAAAGGGGGAGACCAAAGTTGTTGAGGAAAGCAAAAAAAGACCCCGACAGCAGTTAAGCAAAAAAAAAAAAAAAAAAAAAAATCAGCATGGCCCCTTTCAGTAGAGGCTTTTTGCCGGTGGCCATTTTATTTTTCTATTCAGCCGTAAGACAAGCCCCGGTGGGGAGTCTGGGCCTGGTTGCTGAGTGTGTGTAGGTTTGCCAGATGTCCTGTATCTTCGCCTCCTGGCAGAGGGAAAAACCCCAGAAGATACCAGACATTTTAGGTGTCTGGTATTTTCCGGATATTTTTACCGGACAGGAGGCGAAAATACTGGACTGTCGGGGTCAATACTGGACATCTGGCAACCATATTTGGATCTGGCCCCTAGGCTTGGGGTTCCACCCCCCCAGTATTGTGGACCCCATGATGGTGCTCCAGGCCCACGGGGGGCTGCAGCACACAAAATCTACCATAGAGTTGGAAAACAAACAAGGACACTCTCGCAGACAATAATGAACCTGTACTCTATCTCTGGTAATGTGTCTGCAGCCAGGCACTTAAGTTGAAGGACACAAAAGATCAACCAATACTGGTTAACAGAGCCAAAAAAGGAAACACTTATTATTAAAACAAGAGTAATGTTGCAAGTATAGTCTTGGTGTTTAAAAAAAACCCCATGAATTGAAAGAAAACTCAGGGATTCTCCCTGGGATTCTTGATTACAAGGGAGGACGGGTGCATGGGGAAGGACAATTAACCAGCTCAGACAATTTCCAAACCCCAAACAAGGAAAATAATAAACCTGATGGACTCCCTAAACCTTTTCCTACTCATGCATTCTGATGAACCCAGGGGATCTGTTTGGGGTGTGTGTCATTTCTTCCCTCCGTGCCTGGAGAAGATTCCTGTCTCTCTCTAACAAAGGAGAATGATAGAAATGTATCCGTGTTAGTCTGGTGTAGCTGAAACAAAAACCAGGACTATGTAGCACTTTAAAGACTAACAAGATGGTTTATTAGGTGATGAGCTTTCGTGGGCCAGGCCCACTTCCTCAGATCAAATAGTGGAAGAAAATTGTCACAACCATATGATTGTATCCTTTGGTATATATGGTTGTGACAATTTTCTTCCACTATTTGATCTGAGGAAGTGGGTCTGGCCCACGGAAGCTCATCACCTAATAAACCATCTTGTTAGTCTTTAAAGTGCTACATTGTCCTGGTTTTTGTTTTAACAAAGGAGACTCCTTCCTCCAGTTTGAAATTCTTCAGCTGCATTTCATTGGCTCAATGCCCAAAGCCCCCTCCTACAGGTGCAGAATAGCTTAAAGTTATCTTAACTTTGCCTTGCTCTCCAGGTAAGTTAGGCTTTCCTTTGCAGCTCCCATTCATGACAAGCTGCTTGTGTTAGTCAGGTAGAGAACTGCCTCCATTTAGCTATATAGCATTTTCTGAAAGTCTTTTCTGCTGTAATTGAGAACAGTTTGAACAACCTCTGAACACATATATTTTTGGTCTGACACCCATCCAAATACCAGGTGCCTGTGAGGTAAAAGAGTCCAGGTTGCAAAGTCTGCTCTTGCCATTCTCCTGACTTGGCAGATCTGGGAAGGGTTGGATGCTGATGGGAGACTGGCTGATGTTCAAAGGAAGTATGGGCCAATTGGGTATGATAGAATGACTTTGTTTTGCTGTGACACATCTTTCACAGAATATGTGGTAGCAATAGGATGGGAGGAAAGACATACCTCAGATGGTCTGTCCAGGATAGGACAAGGGCATCACACTTGGACTCCTTTGGATGCTCTGGAGCTCCTTGCTCCTAGAGCATTATAAATTGAAATTTTTGTTAGTCTGGGAGACAAATTCGTCCCAGGAAAGCATTCCACAGTGAAGTGAAGATTTTATTCAAAGCAGAACTGTGTATTTCTCAGTTATGGTCTGTGGAGTGGTGCCTACTGAGATTATCTGCCAGAGAGTTTTGCACACCTAGGAGATATGTTGCAGTGAGAGAGATGTGGTTCTGGATACAGTAATTCTGTAAGCACACTGCCTCTGTGCAGAGATGAAGATTTTACTCCTTGTTTATACATATTGTTTGATTTTTGTTCTGCTCTGTAGACACAGCCTTAGAGGGTCTATCTGGCCTACCTCCCAGTGTGATGGCGATGGCTTGTCTGGAACATAAGACATGGCTGATAAGAGGTTTTGGTTTCTACTAGCAATATTGTTGGTACAGGTGGATAAATGCTCTGACCCAATGAATATTCCCTTTTCCTTGAGTTGGTTTCTTTTGCTGGTGTTGAGATGTCCCTCAGGCGAAGCAGACCCAAAAGGAAAGAAGACAGAGGATAAGGAAGGGCGAAAACATGCTCTCAGAGGGAAACAAGTCTTAGTTCATCCCAGAGCATGAGGTGTCCTAGTGGCTGGAAGCAATGAATCCTATGTATCTATGGGCATGGTGATCAGCATATCCTTCCAGAAGTGAGTAGGTGTAAACAAAGAGGAGTTCAACCTGGAGCTCCCAGTCTGTGCCAGCAGGTGATACCTCAGCTTCAGAGCTGGAGCCAGAACAAAGGGATCCTTTCTCCGGTGATACCTCAGCTTCAGAGCTGGAGCCAGAACAAAGGGATCCTTTCTCCTTTGTGCCTTATTGTCATGGTCAGGAGGATTAGGCAGGTATGTCCTTAGAACCCAAGAACTAGGACTCACCTGATTTGGACAGAATCAGGGAGGGATCCTTTCTTTTAGGATCAGATTGAGAAGATGTGTCCTTGTATCTCTGAGAGTCCCCTTACTCTTGTTAGAGCTGAGGTGGTGATTCCTGAGGCATAACAGCTGTAGCCACTGCTCCAGAGCTCATGCTTGGAAGAGGTGCCGCTTACAGACTGAGTTAAGTGTATTGAGGAAGGAGGAGGGGAGAAGTGTCTCACAGACCTTGAACACTTGGCATATTCTTCTCCCCAAGGAGATGGTCTTCAAGGCAGGGAAAAACTAAACTACAGTAAAGTATACACAGTTGTTTTTCTGGTTATGAAACAAGATGCAAAGACAGCTTCAGACACATAGTATTCCTTCAAGGTGGTAAGAAGGAACCGGAGAAGCAACACTGCTTCTTACACATGTGCCACCTGTGGAATACCTTTATCATCACACAAAGAACATATGTTAGGGCCCAGTGTCACTACCAAAATGAGTTTAGGCCATGTTTTTCCATAGGCTATCATACTTGGATTTATTAAACCTGAGTTTCTCGTGTTTGTAATCTTTGATTCTGATGCCATTATTTATATTTTAATAAAATAAAAAAGTCACCTATTTATTACTACTGGGGACTTTGTCTTAATTTAAAAAAATGCAAACTAAAATAGCCACTACCCACTGGTCTCTCCCAATAAAACTCCCCACCTACTCAAATGTCAGTTCCTGTTAAGGCCCTTCCTCCCCACAAGTGCCGAACAAACAGTTCTTACAACATGTCCTGATAATCAAACAATTACTCTCTGAACAAGTGGACTTAATTATGTGTTACATTCATTTTGTAAGTTCATTCTGAATATAGGACAAATATTATGAAAATCAGACAAGAAATTAGTTATCTCCTATTTCCCACCCCCTTGGGGAAAAAAGGTTATATACATCCAGTGTATTTTACACTACTGGTTAAGACTGTGCCACTATTGCCAATGTAAACTTTATTTTGATAGGCTGACCTGTCACTATGAAAAATTACTCCATACTACTATTGTATATAAAGTCTGACAATAAGATGCAATATTTTTATTACAACAAAAATCAAGAAGTTTTGGTTCAAATTGTCGTTTGTTTGCAAGTTTGGAGAGGCAAAAGCAATTAATATATTCCAAACGATGTTTCCCCTCAAATAACTTCAAACTACTTGATTCAAATTCACTTTTGCTAAGTGAGTAAGTATATTTTGGTAGATTAAAAAAATGAGTTAAGATGTTGCAATTAATACAGATAAGAAGTTTTCTGACAAAACAGAAAATTAGAAAATGCCAGTTCAACAAATGCAAAACATCAAGGAATCAGTATGAATTTGGGTTTGACAAACTTGCATTGAATCACAGGGAGGGATCTATTGGAAACCTACATAGTTCCCTTAGCTTTTATGTTCTATGGGGCTCATGGGTCTGAGGCAGCTTTGGTATGGGGACTGTCCTGACGCCAGAAACCTCTGGCTTACCATGACCATGGAAGCCCTGTTATGTGGATTATATGAGTCTGCAACTCCATGTGGTGGGTTTCCAAAATTATTTTCTGAAGAGATTTCTAGTTTGCAAGAAATTTCAAAACACTGAAATTTCTCGTAAACCAGAAATTCTTTCAGGCAGTGCTAACTGCAGTTTACAAACTAGTTATTCTACTTGGGCACTGCTTCCTCCCCCCTTTAAGAATTTTCAAAAGTCCTTTAGCTGTGGATAGCATATGCCTCATCTATATAGTATTCCAAAGGTTCTGGTCTACGGTATAGAAGATTTATCCCCACCCCAATGCTGACAGGGCAGAAGCACTTTTCTATTAATCGCAAGCTAAGAGACTTCCAAGTGAAGGCTGACACTTCAATCGATCATTCCACTGTGATCCTTGTACAAAAAATGTCATGCAGCTTGAAGTGGGAGTGTCAGTCGTCTAAACTTTGAAATTTCTCATTTATTTCTTTCAATTGCTAGGTTTATTGTTCATATACTTAAATCATCCATTTATGTGTTTACATAAGTAAAAACTGGTTTAATTTTTAAACAGAGCTTGTTTAAAAATAATTTACAAATACCTATGTAAAGAGACATCTATAGATTCATATAACTAGATTTTTAAGCCACTTTTAGAGTTTTAGTCATGTGATTCCAATTATACACAATGGAAAATTCAAGTCTAGTAATCGGAGTAATTCTCACACTGGGATTAAAGTGAGAATGCTGAAAAGAAACTAAGCATCAAAAAAAATAGAGGGCAATTTACTGGAGCTTAAACCAAATTCACAGCAAAGTTTCATCAATCAATAAGGTAAGAGATAAGTTGTTTAAAATAATAACGCAACAATCCACATTTTAAAATCATGTTAGCTAGTAGATAAAAAAAAATACAAAACCTGTATACAAGTTGTGCATTTGGAAGAATCTGCTCTAGTTTGTTTGTGTTTTTTACCCTGAAGCAGAGTACAGCTGGAGATGGGTTGCTGGTGAAGACTTTAATAATTCCACTTGGGAATGACACTGTCATATCACCAGTGATTTTCACAATACATCTGGGAGAGAGATGAGAGAAGAGCAATTCTATTACAATTGAATTAAAATATCCAGTGTTTAGTGCATGTCAAATTTTAGTATTAATTCTGAAGATCTACTGTTTTTAGAATATTTGCAACTTATTCATAAATTTAAAACAAACTGATTCTATATGAAGAGAAGGTGGCACTATGACTTATTGCATTACGTCTTTCACCCCTTGGGATAGGATTAAAAAATAGATGAAGTTGCAAGTGAAATGAATTTGGTGGATAAAGTTGTCTTTTGGTGAACTTCATTTTCCATACCACAAACACAAGGCACAACTATGAGTAGGAGATTGCTACAACTGGCATAACAAGGGTGTTGCAGGTAGGGATGAGGTGCTTTAAGCTGTATGGGACAATTTGCATATAGCACCTACCTGAACTATGCCTAGTAGTGGCCAGTGATAAAATCACCCTCTCATTTTTCATCATTCATTTCAACGATTTTACCACATTCTTCTAAAGTTTCACCATTTTCCCCCATAATTAAAAGAAAAGAAGAAAGACCAATTTGTTTCCTAAATGTAACTCAAACTCAGTACAGTCAAAGCAATTCACTATTTAACTAACTTTGTAGGATCTGCTCCTTTAAAGTAGGCGTTAACAGATTCAGTAAAGGCTACTGCAACAGGCAGGGTGTCCTGGTTTCCAAGAGTGACAGGGCTGGGACCACGTGAAACACCTAGAATACATATGGTTTATAGGTTTAATTTTCAAAAAGCTTACCAGCTAGATTTCAAAAAGATCGACTACCTGTTATCACAAAAAGCTGCTACCATCAGATTCACAGCAAGTCCAAAAGCATATTTTTTTAAAAGTGTGTAGAAAAATGCATTCGAAAAACATTTAAAATCAGAATATAACACAGTTAAAGCACTAAGCAATGATAAGTAACATGAGGAAACAGGACTATCAGAATGACACTTTAAACAAGGATTGCATATGACATCAATTGTAACACAGTATTAATTAAAGCCAACGGTACCCAAAAGAAGTTACAGAGGGTATCCATGTTAGTCTGTAACTTTAACAAAACAAGTAGTTCTGTAGTACCTTAGAGACTTAGAGAGCTTTCATGGGCAAAACCCACTTTCTCATGAGCAGAGAAGTTAAAAGGAATATCTGTATTCCTAAAACAAACTCTCTACTATAGGCTTATAATATGAAGACAAATATAGTAAAAGGAAAGGATCATCATGGACAAGCCCCTGAATCCAATTATGCACATAAAAATCCCAAGCACTTTAGTCTTATTCCACATAAATTAAATATTGGCATTTTTAACTAAGTCCTAAGAAGGCAAACACTTTTCACATGAGATGATCACATAAAAAAAAAATCTTACTGAGATTGTTATGTCCACCTGAAAAGAATAAGGGTATGCCCTTAGAGTTACAAGGAAATATGCACTACTTTACTAGTAATAAAAAAGCCCTAATTAATAGAATATATAATCCTCCTTAGGCCCTAAGCAGTATTGTCATCCCAAGCATTCACAAATCATGACTGAAATTAACGGAAACTAATGGATCCATGTTTTTATCATGAATCGGCAAAACTGGACCATTAATTTCCATCTATGTAGTAAAAACGCTCAACTATAGAGACAGCACATAATACAAAGTCATCTATAACAAACAGTTAAAATATATTTATGCTATGTGTATTGCTCTACCATTGTACAGGAATGTATCCTCTTTTCATCAGAGCAATAGGAATAATGATTAAACAGCTGAAACCCAGAGCCAGGTTATAAGGTGATAATTTCCTATTAAATACATGGTGTCTTTTACAGAGGTATCAATAGTTGATTGATAGTAATATTTTTCTTTTTGTATTTATAGATAAATCCAAACTGATCCATTACAGAGAATTATGCAAAGTATGTTAAAATTAATGTATACATATATTTTTTCCATTCTGTAAAAGAAATATGGAAATTTCTTGTTTGCTGAAAATAACTATCTTCCTTAATGCACTACAATTTGCACATATTTATGGAGTCACAGATATATGAATATATGCAAGTGCACACATACATGTTTCTCTTTGTTTTGGCCACATGTAGGGCACTAAAAATCAGGTTTCTTTTTTCAGCTTTTACTGTGCTATGCAAAAAATAAAACATGCCAAACAAAACTACTTAGTCCTCCTTATTATAAAGACAGATTTAACATTGTAAATCAGTGATCTGTTGGCCCATTTGCTGTACAGCCAGGCACAAAATGCTGAGAACCCTTGTCCGGAGTGAGAAGGGAAGCTGGAGCTAGAGATGCAGACATAGAGGAATAATAAAACAGAGGGAGAACCTCAGTGGTGGCGGAGGCAGAGAAGGGAAGAAGCAGGCTGAGCTGCCGGAATAATGAGGAGTGGGAGGCAGTAACTTTATGGGGGGATGAAGGGCTTTAAAGAGGCAGGCATGAAGGAATGGTGCCTTGAGAGGCTGCAGAAAGCTTGAAGAGCAGTGGACAAGCCCAGTTTTAGTGTGTATAGGAAGAAAACAATTCTGAACATGCGTCGGGTTTTCAAAGTACTGTTCAGTAGTGTTAGAACTGATTTTTAATGTAGATGAGGAAGTATCTGAATTGATTTGCATTGCAGAGGAAACTGGTTGTGAACAAGGCACTTCATTTTGATTTCAGGAGTTGAGTAGTCTCTGTCATGCATCATAAAAAAGTTGTAACGAAGTCTGGCTGTTCTATCTTTGATGCCATTAGAAACTTCAGATGGGACCCATCCCCCTTTTCTGCTGCCATCTCTCCCTCCAGCCCCTGAAAAAAAGGGGAGAGAAACAGGGAAAAGCAGCCTTCTTTTTTCCTCTGGTGGCAAGGCCTTGGGGAACAGGGTACGCAAAAGACAATTTTAGTTGGAATGGCCTCTCTTCTTTTCACCTTTGAATATCAGAAGTCTATTGATAGGGTTATGTAGCCTCTCTCTTGAGCCAAACAGCAACAATCTGAAAAGTTAGTAGGACTTTGAGACTTCACTGATAAGGGCACCCCACACTTCAACATACATTTTACAAATTTTAGCTCTCTTGAGATTTAAATGATTTTGAGGTTTGAGTATGCAAAAAGTAAAGTAGCTCCACAGTTTCATTACATGAAGAGTGGCTCCAGTAGAATTATAAAGAGGTGCCTGGGTCCTACTATCAAACAGCTTGTAGCATTTTTAATTTTGCTAAATTAATCTGCTGAAGAGTAATTAACAGTATCTGTCTGGAAAAAAGCAACAATTATTTATACTTGAAGTTTTCAAATATTTCAGAGTTTTTCTTATTGGAATTGTCCTCAGTTTTTTTTTTAATCTTTAAATGACTGATCATGTCAATTTCTAAATTATAAACACAACACAACTGATTAAACAGTTTAGCTTCAGAGCTATTTTATATCTGGAAGATACTAGAGATTGCTAGAGGAACTTAAGTCACAAAGAACTAAAATTGTATTAAGTACAATTTTAGGATAATTAGTTAACATATAAAATCATCTTCTAGAACAATACCTGCAGGTGTGTCAAAGTTTTTCAATCGTAGGGAGTTTTCCAATGACTAATATCATCATCTATTACATTTGAATGAAACAAAACATTGCAAGAAAACAATATATTTCAAGCAATTATACAAAGCAAAATTATATTTAAATGGAAAGATATTTGAAAAATAAGAATTTTAATTAAAGATTAGGTTAACATATAAAATGAATTAGTTAAGAAATAGACATTTCCACGAATCCTCTGAAACAATATACAGTAGCTGGAGTTACATTTAATTTAGAAGACTAAAGTTGCAATAGTGTCCAGTAGTTAAATATATTAATAATTAGTCCTGCAAATGGGAACATTAGGTTAAAAAATACATTTTTATAAAAACCCAAAATGTCCTTGCTTAGTTACACCTTACGTTGTCAAAACTGAATTTTTTTTAAAAAGAAGTAAAGGTCCTGATCCTGCGAACATTAACATGTAACTTTATACATCTGACTAGACCCTCGAAGGTCAATGGTACTATTCATGTATATTTCAGGATGGGACACTAATTTACTTTTCACTATTTATGCCCTTTACTTAGTTCATTTACTTCACTCAACTTGGAGAAAGGAAAAGACCATCAGTTCCTGATTTTGGTTCCTATGTATCTGTATAACTCTACAATATGGGGTTGTAAGCAAGGCAAGGGAACGTTTAAATCACTAAAAATAATTTAAAAACAATTTTAATGGAACTAATTCTATTAATACTATGTTTTATAAAAGAAAAAACCTTATTGCAGGCCTAAATACAATATTTTCTTTAAAATCAATTAAATTCAATCCTGATAATTTATCTACATCTAAAGATAATTTCAATATCAAGTAGAATAATGACAGCTTGAACTTAATGAATAAATTTCCTGCATACCAAGTAAAAAAAATTCACGGAAAGATCTGCCATATTGGATCAGACCAGTGGTCTATCTAGCCCAATATTCTGTCTCTTGCAATATTCAATACCAGATACTCCAAAGGAAGCTGCAGAAAATGTAAATTTGGACAAATTTGACTACTGTCTCCTAACATTCAGATGTCAGTGACTCAGAGCTATATACTGTCATTCTTCAGGGCATATATAAGTAATAAAAGTTACAGGCTACAGACACATAAAATAGTTGTTCATCAACAGTCTGAATTACTTACCTACTGTGGGTGTATTTGCTGCACTTAGAGAAGCAGAAGAGGATATTGATGAGATACTCTCTGCACGTGCCAAAGGAGCTATCGGCGGTGGACTGGAGTTAGAGGTCAAGGGTGGGCTGAATGGCCTCGGCTTAAAAGAAAATATACCAATATAATTACATAAATATAAATGATTTTAAATGGATGAAACAGAAAGGAAATCTTACGACAAACAGAACCAGAAAAGACCTACTTCATTCCTTGCCTAATGCAAAACTGCTCCCTACTATATTTGTGCTAGTGTTTTTTCCACCCTAATTTTCAAAGTAAAAAGCTTATGAACTACTACCATTTCTCCTGAGCAGTTATTGTTGTTTAGATTATTATTAGGAAGTTTTTCCTCAGTCAGTTTTTAATGAGTTAACATGATGCTTTGCGTATTTAACAGTCTAAAGTAACCCCCCTTAAGGCTGAACTAAGTGCCAAAGAAAGAGAGAGCCTAAATTTTTATGCTGGTGCTTGAACTGGCAGCTCTGAATACATGAGCATTATCTGTGGGTGACTACTTTATGGCCATGAAAGTGACTTCAATCCCAAGATTAATAAGGAAGAGCAAATCTGAAACGTGGAGACAAGCTTTTTGGCTCTGCAGCCTACATCTCCTTTCTTACAGTACCCAGAACCTGTAAAAAAATGTCAGGTGATGGGTAATACAGAAATGCATGTAGGAGTAATAAAATTTTACCTAGCCAGAGTAAATGTTGCAGAAGAACTAAGGCCCTTTTTGGCAATTTCTAGTGATCCATGTTAGGTCAGAAGAATTTAAAATGTTTATCATAAGGCAGATAATCAGCATCAGCCTGACAGTATGAATAAGTTGTTCTTCCTTTGTGTGATTCTCTCTCCTAGAAATTGGGGGTGAAATCCTGGGAGTTTTGCTATTGATTTCAGTCAAGCTTTTTTCTGAAAATATGGCAGTATGTATATGCAATCTTTATTTTTTTTAAAATTGATTATTTGAGCTAGTAAAAACAAACACACCTAATCCCTCCAAAGCTTTGTATCAAAAATACTACTAACAACTTTGTTACCAATAATTACACCTTGGCTACATCTACACTGGCCCCTTCTCCGGAAGGGGCATGCTACTTTGAAGTAGGAATAAGAGATCCTCCGGAAAAGGGCTTTATTCCGGAGGATCGTGCCAGTCTAGACACTTTTTTCCGGCTTTTCCCCAAGCCGGAAAAAAAGCGGCGGCCATGTTTATTTAAATCCTGCGGGGGATATTTAAATCCCCCGCGGATTTCCCTATTCTGAAGTTGGAAATTAGCATGCCCCTTCCGGAGAAGGGGCCAGTGTAGCTGTAGCCTTACAGTAAACAATTTCCATGCACATTTTAAGTTAATGACAATTAAAATGGGTGATTTATAAACTCTTGAAGTTAGGTTTAATGTAAAAAGAAAATGACAACTATAATGTGGTAAATGAGAGCTATATTTCAAGTTGAGTCAAACCAGGAGAAATAACATATAATTAAACAAAAACTAAAATTAAATACATACTATTTCATTAATTCCACTTAGTTTTCCTGTTGATATCTTTGGTCTAGAAGCAGGCCTTGGAGGAGGTACAATGGTGCCTATAGAAAGAGGAGTTGTGGGCCTGGCTGAAAAAAAATGTGAAGAAAATTATTAGTATTATAAAACTCACACTGAAAATAAATATGTTATTTGAGTGCAATCATAAATTGCATTTCTGTTAAATATTCTACTTAATTACAAACACTTCATAACAAATACAAATGGCTGTGGTATTAAAATGCAATTCTGTGGTACTCTGAAAAATGACTACAAATTGCATTCTGGGTTCCATCTTTATAGTTCCTTAATGATTCTAAATAAAATATACTCAGTTTGTAGGTAAAAATGGTTTTCACCCTGTGCCTTCAGCATGGGCTCAGGGTGAAATTTGGTCTTTTATCTATCATGAAGAACAATAATAAAATAGGCTATTTAGGCTGTGCAGCTTTTATCTTCAGATCAGGCTGTTGACATATGTGAAACCACACTGCCTTCAATGAGTTCTGAAAGATGTAATAAATTATTACAATTAAATAACTGTATTGATGTGTGAGAAACCATGTAAACATCTCATTTCTTTTCAGCAGGGCTACTGGAAACTAAAAAAAAAGTTTAAAAACGACCTCCAAAATTAGCATAGATTACTCTCAATAGATACCATAACATTTTAGTAAAACCAGGTGCTGTTTTAAAAAAGCTACTTTTCTGAGATCAACTATACGTCAAACAGATGTCATCCAATGAGTATCCTGAATCAAAAATGTGTGTTTTAAAAAAAGGCCAATAAATAACAACATTATTAACAAGAATTATGGAATATTCTACTATCTGTCCAAAAATAATGTTAAAGATGTTTGTGACCAAAAAGAATATTAATAAAAATTGCATTTAGTGTGGGATTTCCAAAGCATTCGGAGATGGCATAACTAGGTTCCTATTAAAGTAAATAGTTGTTTTATCAATGAATTCAGAGTTAGGCCAATGCTCAGCACTTGAAAATCCCACTCATCCTAAATTTGTACTACCGATGCTAAAAGTAAACCAATTGAAGACTAAAATGACCAATCTTCCCTTAAATGCATCCTTTTATGCCTACTTCAAGTTAGGGATTTGTTGAGATACTTGGTTAATCGGTTAACTGATGAGCCATGGTACATGTAAGGCTCACCCCCAGCGCTGCTCTCTCTGATACAAAGACAACAGCGTGGAGGGGGGGGGGGGGGGGGGGAGGG